TTGGGGGGGGTGATGGAGGAAGGGGGGAAGAGAATGTGACACTCTGGGTGCTCCTGAACCTAATCCCAGCCTAGTCTCTGTGTCCCTGTGATGCTTCCTTCATTCTCCCCTTTGTGTGCGTCCCCACTCTTCAGCGACGCATCATGGAGTCTGTGAATGGGCTCAAGTCTCTCTCAGCGGGAAGGGTAGTGGTTGTGAAGAATCAGGAGTATCACAACACATTGGGTGTGATCCTGCAGGTGAGGGCAATGGAAACTTGGACCCCAGAGGGAGGGAGCGGGGAGGAGGAGGGAGGGGGAGGAGGGAGGAGGCAGCCCTATCTCCATTTTCCCCACTTGGCTGGGGGCATTTGTAGTCACAACGGTGTACTCATATGCCCCCTTGCTCTCCTTTCCTGTTGTCACCCCTTTGTGCCTACCTCCTTGTCCCCTTCTGAAGACTGTTCTGACTGACTTGGTTACCAGTCCATGTTGGTGGGCTCCACAGTTGCTCCGTGATCCCTGCCTGAGGGTGGGGATCTGCTCTCTGCACTCTGTCTTTGATGTCTGCTCCTTACATTGCCCTGGCCTGGCCTCCCCCCCTTCCCTAGGTCTCCTCAAACTCCACCAACAGGGTATTTACCACCCTAGTCTTGTGTGATAAGCCTGTGTGTGAGGACCCACAGGAGAGGGCACCAGCCACCCCAGATGTGCCCTACCCCGATGATCTTGTGGGATTCAAGCTGTTCCTGCCTGAAGGTGAACATGGGGCAGATGTCCAGGTTCCTGACAGCAGTGCGGGCCAGATGCCTGGGTCCACGGTAACGTTTGACCCTGCTCTCCCCTTTCCCAGGGCCCTGTGACCACACAGTGGCCAAGCTCCAGCCAGGAGATGTGGCCGCCATCACCACCAAGGTGCTCCGGGTGAATGGGGAAAAGATCTTGGAGGACTTCAGCAAGAGGCTGCAACCAAAATTCAAGTCAGAGATGCTGGAGGGATCCTTTTTCTGGGGAGGGACCATGTAGTGGGGTGTGGGGAGGTGTGGCTGGGGTGTCGGGGGCTTCTGTGGAAGAAAAGACTCTGCCCTAGGTTTCAAGACTTTGCTCCTTCCTCAGGAAGGATCCTCCCATTGCAGCCGTGACCACTGCTGTGCAGGAACTGCTGCGTCTGGCTCAGGCCTATCCAGCGGGACCCCCTACCCTTGACCCTGTCAATGACCTGCAGCTCAAGGATGTGTCAGTGGTAGAGGGGGGGCTCCGGGCCCGCAAGCTGGAGGAGCTGATCTGGGGGGCTCAGTGTGTGCACAGCCCCCGCTTCTCTGCCCAGGTAGGGTCCTGGACGCCAGCTCCCAAGCTGAGAGGTGTGTGTGTGCGGGGGTGCGGGTTTCCCTTCTGGTCCCTTGTAGACCAGCCAGCCCCATCTCTGCCCTCGTCCTTGGTGCCCTCCTGCCTTGGGGCACGGGGAAGGCTAATGCGCTTCTGCTGGTGGCTCTCTGCAGTACCTGAAACTGCAGGAGCGAATGCGGATACAGAAGGAGATGGAGCGACTACGCTTCCTGCTGTCGGATCAGTCACTGCTGCTGCTCCCAGAGTACCACCAGCGAGCAGAGGTGGGAGGGGCAGCCGTGGGGGGCGGGGGGCTAGTGAGGGAGAAGATAGCAGGCTCCCAACACCTACCATCTTTCTTCAGGTGCTCCGAACCCTGGGTTATGTAGACGAGGCAGGCACTGTGAAGCTGGCGGGGCGGGTGGCTTGTGCCATGAGCAGCCATGAGCTCCTCCTCACTGAGCTCATGTTCGACAACGCTCTGAGTGCCCTGCGGCCAGAGGAGATTGCGGCCCTACTCTCCGGCCTGGTCTGCCAGAGCCCTGGGGACCCCGGGGAGCAGCTCCCAAGCACCCTCAAACAGGTATGGGACACCCACCCCACTTCCCCCCTCTTGGCTCTCGCATTCCCAGTCCCCATCTCCAAGTGACCCCTTCCAGCCCTGTTAAGTGCCTCTAAGAGCTGGCATGCCTTCTTCCTTGACCTGGGCCTCCTTACTCCTGGAGAAGGAAGCAGGGTCTGAGCCTCTCCTTCCCCATCTGCAGGGAGTGGAACGTGTCCGGGCTGTGGCCAAGCGGATTGGTGAGGTCCAGGTGGCCTGTGGCCTGAACCAGACAGTGGAGGAATTTGTGGGGGAGCTGAATTTTGGGCTGGTCGAGGTTGTGTACGAGTGGGCCCGGGGCATGGTGAGTAACTGGGGTTTTGTGGACGGCTGGTTGGGGAGAGGCTGCCCAGGTCTACCACATTCAGTCCTCACCCTGCTTCCCCCACAGCCCTTCTCTGAACTGGCGGGGCTGTCAGGGACCCCTGAGGGCCTGGTGGTCCGCTGCATCCAGCGCCTGGCCGAGATGTGTCGCTCGCTGAGGGGGGCAGCCCGCCTCGTAGGCGAGCCTGTGCTAGGTGCCAAGATGGAGACGGCAGCTACCTTGCTACGGAGGGACATTGTCTTTGCGGCCAGCCTGTACACTCAGTGAATTCTGTGTAACAATGTAGTAATAAAACAGCAAGCCACCTGCGTGTACTTGAGGTGTTGGGCAGGGATGACTCAGGCAAAAGACACAGCAAGAAGAACCACCTAGAAATATGCTTTTTATCTGTGCACACGGAGATAGGACCAGCCCCTTTGAAGTCTCAGTCTTTGGGGGAAGGTGTCTTGGGGGCTGATGGGAGGTCCTGGGTCATGGCTTCCACATACCACGTGGGCAGGAAGGCATAGGGTGCATCTCGATGTTTAGACACTGTGACTGGGCTGCCAGGCTCCCAGGAGAAGAGATGGACAAGCCTAGGGGGCACATGGAGTCACAAGTTGAGGGCTGGAGGAGAGCTCTGGGGACCCAGAGGGCAGGGGCAGAGCTAAATGCCTCACCTGGGGTCATCCTGGACAACGGTGTTCTGGGCAAAGCTAAGGAAGGCGGCACAGAAGTTCATGCACACGGAGGGATTCCAGCCATCACGGTCGTTCTGGAGGGAACCGAGGAGGAGGCAGAAGACAGGCAGTGAGGGGGGCGGGGGGAGGCGGACTGCAGCCTGGAACACTGGACCTGTGGTCCTGGTGTGGGGGATGCAGGTGGGAGCTGCGACACCGCTGCCTTACCCTGACATATTCGAACATCTCCATGGTAGGAAAGGTCTTGAGGGAACAGACGAAACCCTCTGGGTTACGGAAGCCAGCAACGACGTTTGGGACCCCCAAAAGGAATGACTGAGCCCACCATTTTAGGAGCTTATGTCTGTCAGGAAAGGCAAGGGGTCAGTAGGACCCTTCCTCCATCCTCCAGCTTCTTCCCCCAGGTCCCTTTTCCAGCTATCCGTTCTAGGCTCTCACCCTACCCAACCCCATCCTGAACCTGTAGAAGCTCCTCCAGTGGCCAGGCCTGTGCATCTCCTTGGAGGTCTTGAGCTCCACATAGCAGGCAGGGGGCTGTATGGATGGGGCCTGGGGGTCCGTGCAGTCTACCTCCCCTGAGAAGAGTAGACGATGGTTTCCCAGGCGGCTGCGTAGCACAGAGCAGAAGGCCACATTGGTGTTAACCTCCCCAGAGGGGTCCGGGGAGCTTCCAGGTTTGTCTGCACAAGGAGAGAAGCAGCAACAAGGGTGGGGGCTTTCAATCTCCGGGGAAGGGGGAGGGGGCTGATAGACCAGGGGCAAGTCTCACCTGCACACATGTACTGCTCAAACTTGTACCCCATGTACATAAGCTCCCGGAGGAGGGGTGGCCGGGCAAGCCTCTGGGCCCGAGCTGCTGGTGTCTCTACCTCACTCAGGTACAGTGTGCCCTGGAAGCGGGAGGCTGCCAGCTGCCAGCCCTCCTGCTGCTCATACGGTGTCGTCAGCAATTTGGTCAGATGCCCCCGCCATGTCACTATGGCCCCTGCCAGCCAGCCTGGACCCCTAAGAGAGAGGAGTAAGAAGCATTAGCTCAGACGATTTCCCCAAAGAAGAACCTAGGTTCCTTCTCAAGACCAAACTCACTCCAGCTTTGGGTTTCCTAATTTTAGAAGGTAGGTGCAGATGTCTAGATCTACCTGTGTGCTATACTTTGCTCACCCCTCCAGCTTGCCTCGGTGATCCAGGAGCCAGCGCAGCAAGTGGTCCAGTCCCTCTTGGACCTCCTCATCCCTGGGCTGGTATCGATCAGGGTAACCATCTCTGAGATCAAAGTGGGGGCCTTGGTCATTGGTAGGGGGTGGGCTGTAGTAGCGCAAGGCTTGAGCATCTCCATGGTACTGGCGTTGTGCATCCAGGGAAAAGCAGCCCAATTCGGAAGGGCGCCCATAGAAAGGGAAGGGCCCAGAGTAGAGAGCTGGGTCTGTGGGCAGCAAGGATGCTGGGCTGGGGAGTTTGTTCCGAGGCTCAGCTGCCTCTACCTTCTCCGCTCTTCTCTTGTTCTCTCTGCAATCCATGAGGTCCTGAGAACTGGGGGTTGGGAAGTTATCCTTTCCCAGAGGAGGCCTGAAAAAGGGGGCCTCTGGGTCAGGACTAGGCGAACCTACTGATGGCCAGGCTCTGGCCCTGAAACAGAACCAAGGCCGGGTGCACATCCCACCTTTTCCCTTGACCTATACCCCCGCCTCCAGATGCTCCAAACGCAGTGAGCTGAGGAAGGCTGTCCGCGCTCTGAGCAAGGATCTGATTACCTCAAAGCCCGCCAACCTCCACCTCCACCTCCACCTCCGCGGGGCTAAGGCGTCACGGCAAGTGCGTCCAGAAGTCGGGATGGCACGCAAAGGTGGTTTTCCGCCCTCCGAGATGCAATCACTCAGCGACGGTGGCGGGCAGACCCCTCAGCGGCGCGGGCTGGGGTGCGCTTCACCCCGGAAAGTCGAGCTCCACCCCGCCGCCCACGCGTTCCCGGCCCCGAGCGCCGGCGGAGGAAGCCAATCCCGGCAGGCGTGCGGCGGCGCTCCTCTCGGGCCGGCTGAAAGAGCAAGTTGACGCCTCTTTGGTCCCACGTCATCTTTCTTCCACCCGGCGGGCCGGCTTCCTGGGAGACCGACGTCACTGCTCTGCGCCGGAAGACGCCGTCTCCGTGTCCCCTTCCCTCAACACCGGCTTCTTCCCCGGCAGCCTGAGATCCCAGGATATGAGCCGGAAGAGGCAGCGCCTGGTCCCGGACGCCTTTGGGCTGAAGAGGCGGCGGGAACGAGGGCAGGCAGAGGTGGATCCTCTGAGGGGCGAGTCAGGTAAGCGCGGCGGCCCCGGGACGAGGCGGGGAGGGGCGTGCGGTGGGAGAACGGCGCCCCCCCGCCCCCCTTCCCGCCTCAATGACCCGGTCTCTCCGCCCAGGGTCGGCGCGCGCGGCCGTCGCCGAGCTGGTGCAGCTGTTCCCGCGAAGCCTGTTCGAGGACGCGCTGCCGCCCATCGCGCTGAGGAGCCAGGTGTACAGCCTTGTGCCCGACCGGACGGCGGCCGACCGACAGCTGGTGAGTGGCGTCGGAGCGACGGACGGAAGCCGCTTCCCGGCGTCGCGGGCGCTCCCGAGGGTCCCCATCACCCAGACGCTCAGTGGGTCCGCCGGCGCTCCGCCGCGCAGGGGGCGTTCGGTCTCTCTGTGCCGGGCCCTGCGGGGCCAAGGAAAACCCTCTGTTAAAAGACCCTCCGGAAGTAGGGACCATGCCACATCGTGGAAGTGGAAGAGCGACTCTTTTGGGGGGAAACGGAGTCCTCGGGCATAGTTGGAGCTTGACAGCGCGGGGAATGCAGGCAGGCGTCAGAGCGGCAGGCCTTGGGCGGCAGTGCTGTTTCTGCCTTAACACCGAAGGCGATGAGCTGGAAGAGAATGTTAACCAGGAGCGGGAACGCTGCGTTGCGTGGTTTGGAGGGAGTGAGATGAGACGGGGAGGTCAGTCAGGAAGACATTGCAGCGGAGAACTGATGAAGGCCTGAATGAGGGGAGTGCAGGTGGGAGGGCGAGGATGGGTGAAGGTGAGGGATGTGGGGAGTGGGGAAGAGGGAGGAGTCTCAGATGACTCAGATTTTCGGGATGACGAGACTGAGTGGGTTGGTGGAGTAGGAGGAGGAGGAGAATAGAGTAGGAGGGCACTGAGTTGTTGGGGTGGTTGGAATGTTTGATTCTGTAGAGTTGGAGGTGCTTGGGGAGCATCCAAAGGCAAATGTGTAGTGGACAGTTGGATATGAGGGACTGGAGAGAATTTTGGGCCAGTGATACTAGATTTGAAGTCATTGAGGTATGAGCAGTGGTTCAGTCTGTGGATGTGGGTGAGATTGGGTAGGAAGAGTGAGTAGAGGAGTAATTTTTAACCTTTTTACAGACTTTAAAAGATAATGAAAGCTATGGCTCTCTCTTTTCAGGAAAATGCATACATGCCACATACATACAAGGTGTATGTGCATTTTTTTGTGGGGGGAGGAGAGGTTGTTTCATAGGTCCTCTGAGGTCCAGGGTTAAGGACCTCAAGTTTAGAGTGAAAGGGCCAAATCTACAAAGCTGAGAGATACCCACGTTTAAGGCAGTGTTTCTCAAAGTATGTCCTGAGTTCTACCTGTATCAGAATTACCTGGGCTACTTAATCAAAAATAAAGGTTCCTGGGACTCACCTAAGGCTGATAGATGCACATTTCTTCAGGTAGGATCTGGGAATCTACATTTTGAATTACTGTCTCAAGCGATTCTTAATGTTCCTTAAAATTTGGGATCCATTGATGTAAGGGAAAAGCAGAGGAAGAAGAGTCTCTGGTAGAGGCTGAGAAGGAATTGCCAGAGTTAGGAGGAACCCAGGAAGAAGCCTATTGAGAAAGCAAATAGATTTTCAAGGAGGTAAAGTAGTTGGCAGTGTTAGAACCTGCGATTTAAGGCAGTGGTTGGTAAAGGGATTAAGTAAAATAATATCCAAAATCTGTCCATTGGATTTAGCAGGTGGAAGATTAATGGCAACCTGTCAGGACGAAAAGAGGGAAGAAAAGGAAGATGGAGACTAGCTCCACTCTCATGAGGAAGTGAGTTAGACAGAACCACTCCTTATAGAGTATTTGTTGTTTTTTTAATTTACTGATGTTAGCCTAAATTTTAAAAAAGCTTTAAAAATTGTACAAAGGAAAATATAAACACACACAATTCAAAGAATGTTCATAAAGCAGATACTCATTTAACCACCACCCAAGGCCGTCTATAGCTACATATATCACTCTCCGATCAAAAGGACTTCTGTCCCTTGGTGGCAACTATGATCCTGACTGGTATGATAATTGTTCCTTTGTTTTTTTTATACCACCTGTGTGTTTACCTGTAAGCAGCATAGCTTAGTTTTATCCATTTTTGACCTTGATATAAACAAAATCATACTGTATATATGTATTACTGTATTTATATCTTGTTTCATTAGATGAATACTTTTGAAATTCTCCGTTTCATGTAGCAATAGTTCATTTGCTTTCATAGATTCTTATTTTGTGAATATGTCTCATTTTGTTCTAGTGAAAAAAATTGTTTCTAGGCAATTGTTAATTTATCATCTAAATTTTCACATTTATTAGCATAAAGTTTGTAGTTTCATTTTATTGTCTATAGGATGTGTAGCTATGACCCTTTTCCCATTCTTTGTATTGATTATTTGTGCTTTTTCTAGTCTCTTCCTCCCCCCCCGCCCCGTTTTCTTGGTCAGTCTCACCAGTAGCTTATCAATTTTAATAGTCTTTCAGTGAATTAATGTTTAGCTTTGTTGCTCTCTTGTACACATGTTTTGTATTTTATTGGTGTTTCCCCTCTACTGTTGGGCTTATTTTACTTTTTTTCCCATTAATTTCATCCTCTCATCATTTCTAATATATGCGTGTCAAGTTGTAGTTTATTTTAAGCATGTGCAGATATATATATCGTTTTGGCACATATTTTAGTGATCATCCGGTTTAAAATATGTTCTAACTTCTTTTGTGATCTTTTTTCTTTGACCAAGGGTTGATTAGAAATGTATGTCTTAATTTTATGCATTTCCATATTACCTGTCAACAATTAGTTGTTACTAATTTCTTTTTTTTTTTTTTTTTTTAAGATTTTATTTATTTGACAGAGAGAGAGACACAGCGAGAGAGGGAACACAAGCAGGGGGAGTGGGAGAGGGAGAAGCAGGCTCCCCGCAGAGCAGGGAGCCCGATGCGGTGCTCGATCCCAGGACCCTGGGACCATGACCTGAGCTGAAGGCAGATGCTTGACGACTGAGCCACCCAGGCGCCCCTGGTTGTTAACTAATTTCTGACACAAATGCTATTGTGTTCAGAGACCCCATACACAATATGATGTCAGTCATTTGAAGTTTATTGAGACTTGCTTTGTGCTATGTGGTCAGTTTTGCTAAATATTCTATGTATATTTGAAGAGAATGTGTATTTTTCAGTTATTAATTTCTTAGTAACTAAAGTTAGTGGAAGTTATTTCCTCACTTATTCTTGTCTGTTCTGAGTTTATGAGAGGTGGAGTGATACACTTTAGTGATTATGGATTTGCTAGTATCTCTTCAAATATTTTCTCTACCTTCCCACCTTCCTTCACCCAAAGTCTTGACTGTTAATTCCTTGAAGGCAGGGCCTATGTCTTAAAAACTATTTTATCTTAGTGTCTGGCATATGATTGGAAAATATATATTGCTTGCTTGATAGGCAACTGATAAGGTGGGTGGATGGGAAGCTGGGTAACTAATTTGAAAAGACTATATTTAGTTATCCACCCTGATTCTCTCCCCACAGTTTTTCCTTTGCATAGAGAAAAACTCCCAATCTTGGCAATAAAATCTCCCTACCCAAAAGTGCCCAGAGTATACCAGAGTATCTTATCCTGATACCCCTCTTTTTACTCCCATCTCTCTGGAGGCAGAAGGCGCTTCAAGAGCAGGGGGAGATCAGAATCATCCAGCTAGGCTTTGACTTGGACGCCCATGGAATTATCTTCACTGAGGACTACAGGACCAGAGTGCGTATAAATGTGTGTGTGCATGGGGGGGAGGGGGGGCAAGCAGGGAAATTGGAGAATGGAAATAAAAAGAAAAAGAAACAATTCTCCCACTCTACGTGTCACAGAGAGGACACAGGGCTCTGGTGAGTAGTAATATAAAGGAGAAGAAAAGGAGAAAAAGTATGAGAGGTAGAAGGACATGAGCGAAAGGGAAAACAGGAAGAGAAATGTCATGGAAGTGGTCAGTGGAGGCTGAGGGTGGGGCCAGACCACATCTCTCATCTCTGGTTCCAGGTCCTCAAGGCCTGCAATGGCCGACCATATGCTGGGGCAGTGCAAAAGTTTCTGGCTTCGGTACTTCCAGCCTGTGGGGACCTTAGCTTCCAGCAAGACCAAATGACACAGACCTTCGGCTTCAGGGACGCAGAGATCACGTGAGACTTGGGGGAACAACAGAACTCAGGCATCTGATACTTCCCTGCCTCTTTCCAGTTCTATCCAGCCTTGTCCTTCTTCTGGTGCACCTGCCAAAAAGATGGACTCTTCTTTTTAGGAAAATGACCTAAATTTGTACTCCTCCCTTGAGAGAGGAGACCTGTTTTATTTGAGGCCGTGGAAAGAGCCCTAGGCTAGAATTCAAGAGATCTGGGTGGCTAATCCAATGAATTTAGAGGCCCGGCAGGCACCATAAATGCCTGATGTGAACCCTGCTGAGACTAAGAGAGCAAGAGAACGGTAGGAGATTGGATGCCCCTAAAGCCTTCACATTGAAAAGCAGTGACTGGACAAGGGCAAAGTAAAAATTCCATTTCAGGGGGCCTTACCTGGCTCAGGCTCCCTACTTTGTAACCCAAGGTACGTGTGAAAGCATTTTGTAAACTTCTTAGTAAGACGTGGGAGGAGCCCTGGTGAGGCATGCGTAGGCAGTGGCAGGAGCACAGAAGAAAGGCCCTTGTTTCTCCCCTGGGGTTGAGCTGAGGCTGTGTCAGGGCATGTGGTCAAGGAGAGCTTCTGGGAGGAGAAGCTGCTTTAGTTGAACAAGTAATAGTAATAGGAAAAGAAAGAATGGGAGTGGGGGGCAACCCAGGTAGAGGAATGGAAGCAAGGGCCGGGGCACCGAACACCAGGGTGTGAGCAGAGAACCACTCCAGGGTGGGCTTCTGTTACTTAGTCCCCTTGCATGGTTGCCCAGTTTTGGGGAGACAGTATCCAAGCATCATTGGGCAAGGAGAGTGTTCTTAAAGCCCAAGCCTCCTCTCTTCTGGCTTCCCACCCTCCTTAGGCAGCTAGTGAATGCTGGAGTCCTCACCGTCCGAGATGCCGGGAGTTGGTGGCTGGCTGTGCCGGGAGCTGGGAGATTCATTAAATATTTTGTTAAAGGTATTCTATCCGTAGCTCAAGCCCTCACTGGCTCAAGAATACCTTTGGGTAGCTCCTCGGGGTCCAGGCCTTATTCACCTTTCTCCTCTCCTGTGCCATTTCTCCAGGGCGCCAGGCTGTCCTTGGCATGATCCGGAAGGCCAAGTACCGAGAGCTACTCCTATCAGAGCTTTTGGGCCGGCGGGCACCTGCCGCGGTGCGACTTGGCCTCACCTACCACGTGCATGACCTCATTGGGGCCCAGCTGGTGGACTGGTGAGTCTGTCTCACCCACAGCCTATGGCAGATGACCGAGCAGTGACCCAAGGTTGGATTCCCTCTGGAATATCCCAGGCCAAGCTCTGAGTTTTCCCCAAACTTTTGGCCTAGGTATCTGGCTCCAGCCTCGTCTTTTCTTTTGCACAGTGTCTCCACCACTTCTGGAACTCTCCTCCGCCTGCCAGAGACGTGACGATTCTGCTTGTCATTGCATACCTCCCCAGAGTGGGGTGAGAGGGGCTCAGGAGTACTGTCCAGTGGTGGCTGAGACAGGGTCACCTTGGGAAGGCGAGGGAGCCCGGATGACTGTTGGCGTTGTATCTGCACAAAGGGTCAGACGTGATTGCTGCTGTTTACCTGGGCTCTGACCCAGTGGTGGGGTTTGGGCAATGCTTCTCTGCCCTTCCATGGAAGTGGAGCCTGAAAGCATGCCAAGGCCATGGCTGTTGCCTTCCTTGCAGCAAAGTACTGCTGTCACATTCTTGGGATAGGAAGATGGGATTTCTGGGGAGGCTGGTGAGGGAGGGCAGAATCCTCTGTCCTACATGTCGAGGTAAACTGCCAAATAAAGTACTTCTGCCTGTGCAATTTCCTGGATGTTTTTTGTTTGATGTGTATTTGGGCGCCCCTGTGGGAGTAGAGTCAAAGCCAAACTTGAGCCTGAGCTTTGCCTCATTGTTCGGAGAGCTGAAAGGACACTGAGGTCAGTTCTCCCTGCGGGATGATAAAGGTATGCCTGATCTCCTCAACCACAGAATTTCTGTTAGGGCCTACACAAAGCAAAGGTCTGGTGTCGTTCAGGTTTTGTGGGGGATGTAGTTAGAGATAAGTGTCTTGTACCTTGTTTTGTTAAGATTTTTACAAAGGAACCATGTGTCTCCAACCATGTACTGAGCCACATTGGACTCCTATGCCCACACATACTGGAGCGTGCGTGTGTGTGTGTGTGTGTGTGTGTGTATGTATATATACCCACCCAGATACACCCAGTAGGGGGGCTGCCCAGGGCACTGGGATGAGAGGGGTTGGCACGGAAGGACAGGACATAACTCTGGGCCGTGATTTTCTCAGATTCCCTCAGAGACCCAAGTGTCTGAGGTGTTGTCCTCCCTGCCCCTGCTAAATACTGGGCCTGGGGCCAGTTGCATTTCTTGCCTGTCACATGGTTTCCCGGCTGAGCTGGGCCAGGGGAGGAGCAAGGTCCAGAGTCAAATCTGCTCTAAGCCCTGGGTTGACCAGAGAGAAGCAGGCAGACAGACGGGTCTGATCCCTCTTGGGTCCTCCAGCCATGAGGCTCCTCTGGGGGCTGATCTGGGTGTCCAGCTTCTTCTCCTTATCCCTGCAGAAGCCCAGGTCCTGGAGGAAGGACACTAGTGCTTGAGTGGGACAGGGCTGGTGATGGGAGAGCAGACATGGGTGACCTGATGGAGGAGCGAGGGATGGAGGGGCGAGGGATGGAGGGGACCTGGTGGTGCTGAATGTGGACCCCTTCTTATTCTCCCTAGGTTGCTCCTGTTTTCGCCTTCCGTGGTTCACCTGGGGGTCCCCCTCTCAGTGGGGTTGCAGCTCAAGGATGTTCCCCCGGGACAGGTAGTGACAGGATCAGTGTTCCTGAGAAACCCATCCAACTTGAATGCCTTCTGCTCCCCAAAGGCGGACTTTTCCCTCAGCTCAGAAAAAGACTTCATACTCCTTAGCCTCCAGGTAACTAGCCTCCACTCCCTTCTGCTGCTTCTTAGTGCCTCTCACCGTGCTCCCCTCTGTCTTCTTCTAAGTGTTTTGTCATCTCATTGGCCTCCCTCCCCTTCTCTTCTCCCCCCACTCCCCACACTGTCGCCTTTCCTGTTTCTATCTCCATCTCTGGCTTTTTCCTTCTACTCTGTCTCTGACCTGCTCCCCCTCCCTCTCCCTCTCCTCACAGATCTCCCCGAAAGATGCAGAGACCTGTGGCCTTCACCGCCTCCTCAGTGGCCCCGAGGTCCAGCTGGTGGCCCAGTCACCATGGCTGAAGAACTCTCTGTCCAGAAAGACAGACATTCAGGGCGTCAACCTGCTCTTCTCCTCGCGCCGGGGGCACCTCTTTCTGCAGACTGACCAGCCCATTTATAACCCTGGCCAGCGGGGTGAGTCGGGCCCCAGGGCCTCTACCTTTGGCTCCCAACCTGCTCAAGGCATGTTTGGCACCCCGTAAGTGAGACAGCCTGAACGTGCCACACAGGAAGGCTGCTTGGCAAATATTTGTTGTCCTCCCCCTCGCTCCCTGGAAGCAGTGGGGGCCGAGGCCCACCCTTTGCAAATGGATTCCTGCTCACCTCTTGCTCTCCTCTCCCAGTTCGGTACCGGATCTTTGCTCTGGATCAAAAGATGCGCCCATCCACTGACACCCTTACGGTCACAGTAGAGGTGAGTCCCCCCTGACCTCTGTGACCTTGATCAGCAGGGCTGCTGATCTGACCTCCCACCCGTGACCATGTTTACTCCCGCTGCAGAACTCTCATGGCCTCCGTGTGTGGAAGAGGGAAGTGTACGCTTCCTCCATCTTCCAGGGTGACTTCATGATTCCCGATATCTCAGAGTGAGCTCCCCCGACCTGGTGACGGCCCCTCCCATCTCCCTTGGCTCTCTGCCTCTAGCACCCAGTCAGACCTCCAGCCCTCCTCACTGTGGCTCTAGTTTTCCCCCAGTGAGTCCTCTGGCTCTCTGTGGGCCTCTTGCACAAGCGGGCTGAGTCCCTTCCCTATTTGTAGGCCAGGGACATGGACGATCACAGCCCGGTTCTCAGATGGCCGAGACTCTAACAGCAGCACCCAGTTTGAGGTGAAGAAATATGGTGAGAGCTGGAGACAGCGCAGGACGAGCATCTCCTTTCCTAAAGGAGATAGGGATAGAAGGGGGAGGTGGTGGGGGCAGGGCAGGGCCAGGGAGGTATTGGTGCCACAGCCCCGAGGGGAGGGAAGTCTTTGAAGCATCCTTTCACTAGTCTGACCTGCCACCCCTTCACCCTGGATCAGTCCTTCCCAACTTTGAGGTGAAGATTGTTCCTGGAAAGCCCTACATCCTGACAGCGCCTGGCATTCTCGATGATATCCAATTAGACGTCCAGGCCAGGTAACTCCCTGCCCCACGGGCACCCAGGGTTCCCCATTCGGTCTGAAGGAGCTGTGAAGCCCTGCCTCCCCTTGCCCCAGCGCCGCTCCCGCCGCCCCAAGACACTGGCCTTATTTCCTAGACCCACCCTCTTCCCACTCTCTCCCGGGGCAGGTACATCTATGGGAAGCCGGTGCAGGGGGTGGCGTACGTGCGCTTCGGGCTCCTGGGTGAGGGTGGCCATAAGACTTTCCTCCGGGGACTGGAGAGTCAGGCTAAGGTAGGAAGGAGGGTGGGGCGTGGGGGAGGAGAGGGGGGTGTGGGGAGGGGAGGGAGGGGGTGACAAATCTCACCCCAGGCCCTGTTTTCTTTTTTGCCCCAGCTGGTAGACGGCCAGTGCCATATTTCCCTCTCAAAGGCTGAGGTTCAGGGTGCCCTGGAGAAGCTTCAGGTTAGCATCGCCGACCTCCCCGGGCTGCACCTCTATGTTGCAGCTGCCATCATTGAGTCTCCAGGTGAGAGGCTTCCCTGATCGTAACCCCAGCCCCCAGCCTCTGACCTCGAGCTGACCTCTGTTCTCTAGCATCGACACCATTCCCTGCTCTTACCCTCGTCTTGCACCCAAGGCCAGGACAGACCCAGGACACTGTCTCTCCCCAGCTGTGTTTCTGCATGGTTTCAGGAGAAGATACCCCTTTCCCTGTCTCAGTTTTTTTTTTCACCCACCCCTCCATCCATCCGGCAGACATGAGTTACATACCATCGGTGTGCTGGGTCCCCTGCTAGCCTCAGCACACAGAGATGAATACAAGATGGCCCGTGCACTGACAAGTCTGAGGAGTTGAGTGTCTCGTGGGCAGGAAACACTCAAACTCTCGTCTCCCCGCTCTCCCGCTTCTCTCTCTGTGGCTCTTTGTCCTCCACCTCTCTCTGCCCCATCTCTTGCAGGGGGAGAGATGGAGGAAGCAGAGCTCACGTCTTGGCGTTTTGTGTCATCTCCCTTCTCCTTGGATCTTAGCAACACCAAGCGACACCTTGTGCCTGGGGCCCCCTTTCTGCTGCAGGTATCCTCTGGAGGGGGAGGATGAGTGGGGGGTGGGGTGTTGTCAGGAGGGCATGGGGCCTCACTGAGCAGTCTCCTTTATCTGTCCCTTCCCCGCTCACCTAGGCCCTGGTCCGAGACATATCTGGTTTCCCAGCCTCTGGCATTCCTGTCAAAGTTTCGGCCACATTGTCTTCTGGATCTGCTTCTAGAGTCCAGGACCTTGAACAGAACACAGATGGGAGCGGTCAAGTCACTGTTCCCATCGTTACGTCGAAGTCCATCTCAGAAGTGCAGCTCTTGGTAGGTCCCACTCATGGGACAGGGTAGGGGAAGGAAAGAAAGGCTGGTCAGCTTCCTGAGAATCCACGTCCCGGGCTGGGGGAAGAAGCTGGGCCCGGGGTCCTTGCCATTGACCCTACCCCTGCCCTGCCCCTCTTTCTAGGTATCTGCAGGCTCCCCTCACCCAGCCGTAGCCAGGCTCACTGTGAGAGCCCCACCCTCAGGACACTCCAGGTTTCTGTCCATTGAGCGGCCGGATCCTCGACCCCCTCGCGTCGGGGACACTCTCATCCTGAACCTGCGAGCTGTGGGCGTCAGTGAGGGCAGCTTCTCTCATTACTACTACATGGTGCGCAGAGGCCAGGCTGTCGAGGAGGGAGGGCAGGGTGCAGGGAGGATCTCAGGGAGGAGAGAGCCCTTGGGGTGAAGGGAACAGTTTCAGGATTGGGGGTGTACAGTGAAGAGGAAACCACTCTTGCCCCAGATCCTTTCCCGGGGCCGGATTGTGTCTGTGACTCGAGAGCCCAGGACGGACCTGACCTCAGTCTCCGTGTTTGTGGACCATCACTTGGTACCCTCCTTCTACCTTGTGGCCTTCTACTATCATGGGGGCATCCCCGTGGCCAACTCCCTGCGAGTGGACGTCCAGGCAGGGGCCTGCGAGGGCAAGGTAACTGGCATTCAGAGAGGTGGTGTGTCTGTGCATTAGGGGGTCAAGAGAGAAAGAAGACAGAGTGATTGTGAGCAGGGCATGGATTTGGTTTGGGGTACACTGAGAACGCACAGGGCTGAAAGCAGCTCTCCCCACCCTGACTGCCCCCTCCTCCCGCCTCTGCCAGCTGGAGCTGAACGTGGACAGCGTCAAGGAGTATCATCCTGGGGAGTTTGTAAGGCTCCACCTGCAAACAGACTCTCCGGCCCTCGTGGCGTTGGGGGCTGTGGACACGGCTCTGTATGCTGTGGGCGGGAGTTCCCACAAACCCCTCAACATGGGCAAGGTTTGTCTAGACCCTCCGTTCTCGCCAACCTTCCCTCCCCTCTGTGGCTCATTGTCCTGCTGTCCTGAGCCCAGGACCTAGCCCTGAGATCTCACTCAAGTTCCCCGCAGACTGCCCCCCCGCCCCCCCTGCCCAGGCTTCCCTCAAGCCCAGGCCCCTGCCTTCTCACCTGGAGCTGAGTGGCTGATCTGGTCCCTCAACTTGTCTGCAACATCCTGGCCTTTTCTTGCCAGGTCTTGGAAGTTATGAACAGCTATGACCTTGGCTGTGGTCCTGGAGGTGGGGACAATGCCCTTCAGGTGTTTGAGGCAGCTGGTCTGGCCTTTTCTGATGGAGACCTGTTAACCTCAGCCAGAAAGAGTGAGAACAGAGGTGGAAGGGGAGTTGGGAGGTGGGAAGATCAGGAAGGAGGAGGGGCCTCAGGGCCTAAGATGGAAAAAGGATTGGTGGGAAGGGCCAGGCCAGGGAAGGGGGGCAGGGAGGGGAGCTGAGAGGCCATACACCCTGCGCTTGGCTGCAGTCCTGCTTTCTACCAGGTCTGAGCTGTCCCAAGAAGAAAACCCGGAATAAGAGAAACGTGAACTTCCAAAAGGCGATTCATGAGAAGTGTGAGTTGTGGGTGCCCATGCAGCTCTCCACTTGGCCCAAGGGTCAGAGTGACAGGGTCTGCCTCTTGGCTGCGCTGCTCCTGAGTGAGCCCGTATATGGTATTTGGGGCCAGAGACCCAAGTTCTGGGGTTGAAGGTGGATGGAGGCTCTCTCCATTGGCCTCACCTGAGTTCCTGGTCTCTCAGGGTGAGTCCTTGTGTATCTAAGAGGTCCAGGTGGGAATGAGATGTGTCTCCATGGGGTTCCCCTGTGCCTACCCTCGCCTGGCCCTGCAGTGGGCCAGTATGCTTCCCCAGAAGCCAGGCGCTGCTGCCAGGATGGGCTGACGAGGC